TGGGGTTCTATAGGGCTTTGGGTTTAGGATTTTCGGCTGTCTGTGTATTGGACTCTTGCAGAAGTTTGATGCTAGCTGTGGGGGATCCTATAGACGCCGTCCGAAGATTGCAATAGAATGTTGGGGACTACAAAGACTCAGATGAAGAACCGGGTGTCAATGCACGCCAAAGCCACCAGAAACACTTTTCTGCACATGCAGGCTCATGCACAAAGGACCTCAAGATCTGACATAGAGTGTGCAATTGCTCAGGTTTCCGATTGACTGATGGTATGTGCAGGGCTGCATCGGAGGTCGTTACGAATCAAAGCCCCTCCCTCGAACAGTGGTCATAATGGGAGGTCCATTGCAGATGTAGGTATGGTGTGTATATATATATACACACATGTGTATATATATATATACACACACACGCAGGTATAACTACAACTGTTCTAAACACACGAATGGGAATCAGACGGTCTATCAATGCGGATCTGCGGTCTACATCACTGCTTTACTTGCCGTTTAGGTTGGCAAACCTCGGCCCAAAACCCAATGCCGAAAGGCCCCCTGGCCTCAGGGTTTATGAAGGATGTACATATGCATATACATATACATATATAGATAATACATATATATATATATACATATATTTATTTATTTGTTTATTTATCTGTTTATGTATGTATTTACTTTCTTTATGCATATGTTACATACATACATACATACATACATACATACATACATACATACATACATACATACATGCATACATGCATACATGCATACATGCATACATGCATACATGCATACATGCATCCATGCATGCATATACATACATACACACATACATACATACATACATACATACATACATACGTACATACATACGCCCACATGTACATATGCATGCATGCATGCATGCATGCATGCATTCTCGTGGGGATTCATATACAGACATTGTATGCATAGATAGACTAGATGAGATTAGGTCAGGTTAGATTAGGTCAGAACAGATCGGTGAGATTAGACGAGATGGGACTAAATTCCATTGGCACAGAACCGACTAGATTAGATTCGGCTAGACTGAAAAGATCAGATAACATGACCAGACAAGCTTCGCTAACACAAACTACGATTGAGACAAGGCAATACACGACAAGATAAGATAAAATAACATAAGACAATACAAGATAGTTGCACGAATAAATACAATAGTAACTGAAAGATACGATAACACACAAGGCAATAAAGCAAATATAATATGCATATAAGATAAAGGCAGGACAGAGATAATGTATGTATATCTATTGTACATGTATGCATGTATGTATGTATGTGTATATATATATTACATAAACCGAAGGACAGATACATAGACAGATAGATAGATTCACAGATAATAGGATAGATAGCCTCCGAGCTGACAACCGCTTGGTTTTAGTGCCATGGCTTGTGGAACTGCGTTTCGGAAAGCTTCTTGGGGTCCTCAGAGTCCGACGACGGATGCACCGGGCTATTACCGGGGCACGTGCAAGCTATCTGCAAGACGGTGCCCGGCAGCATGCGTGGCTGTCGGTTCTTGGACTAGAAACCTGGGGGCTGAAGGGCTTCCTTCGCACAGCCGCGAGACTCCACCCACGCATGCTGCTGCTGCCGCTGTTTGCATCGTTGGGCAGAACCTCAGCGGGAAAGTTGCCTAAGTGTAGGGCTTAGGCTTTCGAAACCCTAGACCCTAAACCCTAATCGTGTGATCTGTGGCAGGGCTATGGGGAGATCCCAGACTGACGAGCGTCGTTGCTTCCGCAACATCAACGAGAACATGCCGCTGAACACGTGAACGAAGCTTTCAGCCAGCTATCCCCACAGTACACTCGCGACCTGAAGCCGCAAATCTGGCGACCCTACCAATCGTCTTTGCAGGCAGGACAGGCTCGTGCCACTGGCGGTTCTTCAACGTCAAACCCTCTCGCAACAATCGACATACCCTCACCACCCTCCCTAAACCCTAGACCCTAAACCCTAACCCCTAAACCCTCCCACCCCCCAACACTCCAAAAGAACAACAACCGGGGCAAAGCACCTCGGATCAGCTCAAGACGCGCTTGAAGCGCTTCTCAAGCTCGCCCCGGTCTTGCGAAGGCCTTGGGGAACGTCTCTTTGCTTGTTTGGCTTTTCCACGGCTTTGAGGGTTCAGGGTGTAGGGTTAGGATTTAGGGATTCGTACTTCTGGGTTTGGGTTTAGGGGATTTGGGTGGTGTTGGAGTGCTAAAGTCGAGCCCCGGGTGTGAGACGAGACGCGGACGCGACGAAGCAGAGCTCAAACCAGAAACCCTAAACCTACGAGGTCCTACTCTTTGCCGCCTTTGTTGCACGACATGATGCAGACGGATGCAGACGGATGTACCATGTCGAGACTCTGTTACCTTCATGGTGGCCTACCTCGCAGACCGAAAAAAAAACATCCCCCCAGGCGGACTAAGCTCCCAGGAGATGCAACGGAAAGCCCGAAGAGGTCTATCCCTGAAGCAGAGTCCCTGAACCCTACGCCCGTGACCTGCAGAAGCCCTTCAGAGGAAACCTGTCCTCTGCCGTACTATCTTGGGGACCTAAACGGGGCCCTAATTTAGAGAACTAGCCATATAGGCCGACACCAACTCCAAAAAAGTCCTCTGCGCTCTTTTTTTTGCTCAGGACTTCCACCGGCTCATGCGGAAGAGGTGGATCGGGCAGTGCTCCCTGCCGAAGCTGAGGATGCCTGAGGCTAGCCGTGACTAGCAGTCTTGGAAGATAGTAGAAATAATCGGAGTAATACCGAAACTAGTAATAACAGCGATAGTAGCAAAAAATGCAGAAAAAAAACAACGAAGAACAATAACAAACATAATAACAAGACGAAGACGGTGCAGAGTTTCTCAAGTTTCCTCAGAAGGCTTCCTTTCAGAGCTTGGGCTTTGGGGTTTAGTAAGGTTTGAGGCTTGAGGATTCGGATTCAGGATTCAGGGATTAGGGTTTGGGATTCAGGGATTAGGGATTAGGGTTTTGGGTTTCGGGTTTAGGGGTTAGATGCACTCCTCGCGGATGTTGCTAGTATGTCGGGTTTGAGCAACGACAGTAGAACGAAAGACCAGCATCATGCGGTTCTAGTATAACAATCCTGAAAGAACCATCGATATGGTAGAAACGACAGAAATTTAAAGCGAAGATTGAAGTTCAGGGACAGCTTCGTGCTTGAGTCCAAAATTCTATGTTTCGTGCTATGATAGGGCTATTGGGCTCGTAGGGTGCCCTGCCGGAGCTAGGGATCAAATCCCTAAATCATCAACCCTAAACCCCCAAACTGTTCCTGTCCGCAACGCATCTCTTCATTCATCACTGTGCAACATCGTGGCATCAATACTAGGTCATAGAAAAATTATACCATCTTATATCATACTATAATACAGTCTGTTATATTAAGCCTATCATAAAAGGATGATACCATATTTAATAGTATCGTACTACAGTCTATTATATTACGTACATTACAAACAGTATGATGCCACATTATCTAGTAAGAGTATCGTATTAGTCTGTTATTTTACGTATAGTATAGACAATCTTATACCATATTACAAAATTATTGTGCTACAGTCTCCTATATTATTATAGTATATTATGTATATTATTGGCCTAAACCCTAAACCCTATACCCTAAAACCCTAAACCCTAAACCCTAAACCCTTAAACCCTAAACCCTAAAACCCTAAACCGTTATAAAAGCCACGACACGGGTGGATTCGAACCATGGGCCCAGGGTGGACTCCAGCGCCAGCGGGTTGCAGGGCTCGCTCGGCGAGCCGGGGGACTCCATGCGGGGCTTGTGCGCCAGGAAAATCAGGGTTCCTGGGAATTCTTGGGGATGTCGAAAGCTAGAGAGTTTTGGGTTACAGTCTAGTATCTTAGGTATACTATAATCAATAATATCATACCTATGTATGTATATATATATATATGGAGTATTACAGTCTATTATATTGAGTATAATGTGGTTTAGGGTTTGGGGTTTAGGTTTTAGGGTTTAGGATCGCTCCAGAGAGTTTCGGGTTTAGGGCTGAGGAGTAACTGGAACTCCAACAGAGGGGGCCTGAATAGTACTAGAAGAGGGCTTTTCGGATAAGGACTCCCAAAATAGTATTATTTAGGCCCCCTTCATTGACTCGCATGGCTGTCTCTAGTACTTAAACCACAACCTACAAACCCTAACTTTCAGATTTCTCAATAAAACTTCAACCCTAAACCTGGAGAAAGTGCACTTCCAAATCGCGATCTCCTTCCGAGTCTCCAGGCTTCGAGAAGAAGAGCAGGGCGTCCTTGACCTTCGAGGCAGCCGTTGATGTATAGAGCAGGTCTGACATCAAAATAATGTCGAAGGCATCCCCACACTGGCTTTTGACTTGGTGCCAGTGCTCCTTCTTCACCCAATCCAGCTCCAGGACTCTGGTGTTCTGATTCGGGCAGTTCGTCGCGACATTTTGCTTCACCAGCTGCAGAACCGGCTGCCTGTCCGTGAAGACCGTCCTCGAAGCGAAGAGATGTGCTGCCACGATGCCGGGCAGCCCACAGCCACTTCCGAGCTCGAGGACGGCCTTTAGAGTACAGGTCTGTAGGGTCTCTAGGCCGAGGGCTTCCGGCATTGGGGGGTTTGGGGTCAGAGTTGGAGCTCTACTTGTGCCCCCCCACCCCCCCTACACCCTAAACCTCCCCCACCCCCTGTCGGCCTTCCCCCGCAGTTCTGCGGCGTTGGGCCCCATGGTTGTGAGCCAGTGAGCCAGGACGACGCCAGCATCCCAAAGATGTCCCCCTGTGGGCATCTCAGCGCTGGAGATCTCCTCCCTGATGCCTTTAGGGGCTGAGAGTTGCCCTTTTATGATAAGGATAACCCTTTTCCTACTATTCGGCTTTAAGGAGGGGGCCCCAAAATAGAAAGGGCAAAAGGTTGCTACTCAGGAACCTAGATGCGGAGGACATGGGATCCCAAGGCAAAGCAGCGAAAGCAGTGCTCGTCCTCTCGGCTCGACAGCGGATATTCGCAGGACAGAACCGCATCGCCGTGCAGTGCCTCCGCATGAACTGCCCAAATGTCGCCTAGCCTCTGTGCTTCCGGAAGAGCTCTGTCATTGCAGCTTGCTGATGTCTGGACCCTGCACTTGGAGCCTTAGCCGCCGTAGATCCAGAAGAATCCCTGCAGTTCTATTTTAGGAAAAAGTAAAACATGATTCCTGAGATCAGTAAGGGAGCCACGAGCTGGGGACCTTGATCGGGCGCGGCTACCAGTCCCAGCTTCGCTGTCAGTCTCCGTCTTTGCGGCAACCAGAAGGCAAGCATCCTTGTTTGATCACACAAGGCTCCGGGTTGGCTTCGGGCTCAAGAGCACTCAATGCCCAAAAATCTTGCACACAACTCTGCACCCAGAGTTCCTCTTGTCCGGCATCCTTACCCGAACGCCAAACCCCTTCACCCTACTCTGGTAGTCCTTACCAACCAGTGCTTTTCGACCCTCCGCGGCCTGCCCAACCACGGACTCCGGCACGGCACAATCGATGACCAGCTCCAGCCCATCACAGATACGGAAGCTGCTCACTTGCACGTCCCGTATGCCAGCAAACCGCGTGCCCTTTGGGCTTAGGACGTGGGCAGTTCTCTAAATTAGGGTCCCTTTTAGGGTCCTCTTTTAAAAGGGTGCCGTACGATATCGGGGGCCTAAAAAGGGACCCTAATTTAGAGAACTACCTACATGGGGCTTGGTATCTGATAGGCCTCTTTATGGAAGGGAGATAGGATGCTTTACGGATTTAATGGAATAGGCCTTAAAGCATTGCTGATGGTTTTTTTATGCCAAAGGTAGTCATGTTCATAAATGGAGTCTAAGGGGATCCTCTTAGAAGTACTAGCTATGGTACCCCCCTGTATTTGGAGATTTGTGAGTCACCTTGGCCTTGGTAGGACCAGCCTACAAATACTTCATCCGCGCGCAGGGTTGGTCCGAGGCTTCCGGTGCTGGGGGCTCGGGTAGCCCTTGAAACCTCCAAGCCAAATCAGGAATCCAAAAACGCGACATCCTAAGGTCCTAAACCCTAAACACCTAAACCCTAAATCCCTAAACACCTAAACACCTAAACCCCAAAAAAAACCCGAGTTCTCGACCGTGGCTCGTGGCCCTGAACCCAAAAGCAGACCCCGTCCCCCCTGAACACCAAAGCCTAAACCCTAACCTCCAAAGCCTAAACCCTAAACCCTAACCTCCAAAGCCTAAACCCTAAACCCTCAACTCTAAGACCAAACCCAAGCACCGCTTTCTTGTCCGGCCTTGCTATCTCTAAGGCTCAGGTCCAAAGAGAAGTCCCCCGGTAGAGGCCTCTCTTGGTCTTTGTTCTGTTGTTAAAGGTGCCGGGCCTCGAACTTAGGCTTTGGGGTGGTTTCTAGGTTCCCCAGTAGCCCCTAAATAGTAAGGGTACCCTTTTTCCTACCATTTGGTTTTAATAAGGAAAAGGGCAAAAGGGTACTACTGTAGAACCTAGTTTCTGATGTAGGGAATTTAGGGGTTTAGGGTTGGGTTCGGTCGGGCCTTGGAGCCTGGGGCTTTGGGTTGGTGTCGGTCGCTGTCCATTTGCCGCCCTATCGCCACCCTAAGTGCTAATTACCCATAGGCTCCTAAGTAGTTCCTTTTTGGTGGCTGCTCTTTAGACTCCAAAAAGGTAATCCCAAAAAGGAACTACTTAGGGGCCTATGGGTAAAACATTCCTCTGGACGGCCGGGGCTCATAAACATCTCATCCGTCACCGACACGGCGAAGCGGAGCCGGGTCCCCTCCAGCACCGGGGTGGAGGTCAAGTACGTACGGAGCAGCATTGCGAAGCTCAGCTGGGGATACTGCAGCACATGCAAGCTATGTGCTTGCGCGGTGGTTGTAGCTCTTCGTGGGACGGTTTTATTGTGCGTGCTTCTTGCTGGCAATCGTGTTGATTGTCGGGAGGGTAGAGCTACGGGAAGCAGCAGCAGGATGAGCATGGGTCGTCGTAGTGTCTGATTCTTGTTGGTGGTGCTGCCATTCTTCATGCTGTTGTTGCTGCTTCTGTTGTTACTGTTGTTGCCGTTGTTGCTTTTGTTGCGTGTTGTGCTGCTTGTGCTGTTCGTGTCATTGGTGGTGGTGATGGTGCTGCTGGTTCTGGTGCTGTTGCTGCTGGTGGGGTCTTCTTCTAACTTCAACTCGGGCTAGTCCGTTTATTGGCCGTTGTCCCGGCATGCGATGCTATTGTGCGTACATGAGTGTAGCAACTCTGCCAACCCTAAACCCCGAAAATATAAACCTCTACGCAAAATTCTATGAAGCTCTATACATGCAATCCTACGAAAAAAAACCGTCAGGACAGCCGTGCGCTTTGCAGCCCTGCTTTCCATGTTCGAGCCGATTTTCGGAGCGATGCTCATGTGTGCAAGAGCTCAGGGAGTAGGGTTTTGGGGATTGGGTCGGATTGGGGCTGTGAGGGTTTAGTTTAGGCTGTATGTGGTTGAGGGTGTATGGGGTTTCGGGTCTTTAGGGATTAAGGGTTTGTAAGGTTTGGGGCCTGGGGGTTTAGGCTTTGAGGTTTTGGCCTGGGGATTAAGTTTGCGACGGGTTCAAGCACCCATCAAGCGGGAAATTGCTTGGGTTAAGGATAGAAGCAGCTGCAGGCTAGTATCCAGGGGATATGATCAGTGGGCATTTTGACCCTCAGTGTCAGGGTGCTAGGGTTTGGAGTTTGTTAGGGTAAGGTGAGAATCAGTTGCTAGCGTTCACAGCTTCAGGTTTCTTGGCTGCGGCTTCGGTGCATGTACCTGATGCAAATGTGTATCTATATGCACGTATATGTACACTGTACACATGTAGAGAAACATCTATACACACAGCTTCACCCGAATACATGCCTAGGGCGGCAGAGACATGTATGTTCATCGTTTAACCCTGCAACCCAACGTGTGCCCTGTGCAGAGGCCGGCGCGCGAGGGTTATGAGCTCCCGCACGATCTAGCGGGAGGAGGCAGTATCCCTTAAGGACGAAAAGAGCCCTAAAAGGGTCTAGGGTTCATATGCCATATAGGGATTCATAGTATAAGGGTATAGGGCCCCTACCTTTAAGAGCTATTTAGTCCCTAGGGTTCTAGTTCTACTTGCGAATCTACTTAACTTCCAATATGTGGGATCCTCAAAACAATACTTGCATGTAGGATGTCTGTCGCAGTCTTCCAGCTCCGGCTCCAAAAACCTTTTTGATTCCAAAACCCTAATGGCTGAATAAGCCCGCATCAAGCCCAAAACCCGGAACTGATAACATCAAACTCCCAAACTAAGAAATCTTTCGCTCCGAAACCCATTGAAACTCTACCTTCAGTAGCGTGGGAGCAAGGATCGAAACTTAACACTTTCGCCAGGACATGGGGCTGAAGAACTAAAAAGGTACCTTTACGACAAGGAATTTAAGTACTTCGAGTATGGGTTTAGGGTTTAGGGTTTGCTTAAAGAGCATAGGGTGGTGTCGCGAATCGCAAACCGTATGTCCTCGGAACAACAGGGCGAAGTCGGTGTCGGGTGGAGAGGGCTCCAGGAGCAAAACTCAGCGTCTGGGGCTGGTTTGCATCTCAGCATCTGGAACCCTAAACCCTGAACCCTAAACCCTAGGGCCCAAACCTGGGCTTAAGGATCAGCCCTGGGTTTGGCTTCCAGCTTCCTAGAACCCTGCAGCCTGCACGCAAAGCCGCACACCCTAAACCCCTAAACCCAAAATTCCTGAGCCCAAAACCCTCAACCCTAAATCCAAAACTCCTGAACCCAAAACCCTCAACCCTCAACCCTAAATCCAAAACTCCTGAACCCAAAACTCTCAACCCTCAACCCTAAATCCAAAACTCCTGAACCCAAAACTCTCAACCCTAGGTGCCGCCTGTTTTTCGGAGGTGCTCAGCATAGAAAACTGCGTCTCGGCCGCATTTGTCCTCGGGGGCAGCGGGCTGGATTTACAGGGCTTCATGAACAAGCCGGGTTACTATAAGGCAAACTACGACGGGTATTATGGAGGTTACCGCTAGGTTCCCCAGTAGCCCCTAAATAGTAAGGGTACCCTTTTTCCTACTATTTGGTTTCAAAAAAGGGAACCCAAAAAGAAAAAGGGCAAAAGGGTACTACTGTGGAACCTAGACCGTAAGGGTTGCTAGAAGAGACGCTAAAGCCAATAGTTCCGTTCGTCCTGAGCAACTGCTGCAGGTACTCTCCGACCGTCGCTGGTGGCATGGGAGCCTCGGCGACCGCTGCGGTCCTGAAGATGTACATTGTAGAGATGGATAAGCAACGATATAGAGACGGATAAGGAGATACCTGTGCATTCATGGAGACTGTCGCTTTTGTACGCATTTGTTTGTTGTTCTACAAATCCGTTTTCACAGACATACATACATACCTATCCGCCTACATACCTACCTGCCCGTGCAAACCTACATCCCGAGCCTACTTAACTGCGTACGGGTACGTACACATACATACATACATACATACATACATACATACCATACATTACATTACATTACATTACATTACATTACATTACATTACATACTTACATGCATACACACATCCATCCCTCCATGCATGAAAGCATGCATGCATGCACATATACAAATACGCATGTACAGTCGCACACGCAAAATGAACATGTACCAGTGTCACAGCAGAAAACTGTCTGCCTAATGTATCAACCAACCAATCCGCAAATGCAGCGATCTAGCCAGCTAGCTAGCTAGCTAGCTAGGCAGCAAGCTATCCGGTTTGCTTACTGCTTGCGTGCTTGCTTGCGTGATTGGTTGCTTGCCTGCTTGCCTGCTTGCCTGCACGCATGCATGCATGCTTGCTTGCTTGTTTGCTTGCTCGCTTGCTAAAAATGTGACTATGTGACTATCTATCTGTCTATCTATCCATCGATCTGACTATTTACGCACCTATCGATCCATCTATCTATCTATCTGTCTATCTGCCCATCTATCTATCCACATGTGCATATGTCCATCTATCTATCTAGCTGTCTGTCTGTCTGTCTCTCTATCTATCTATCTGTCTATATATCTATCTGTCTATCGCTCTCTCTTGCTTCCTATCTTTCTATGCATCAATCTGTCTATCCATGTTCTGTCTACGTACATACAGCGGGTCTGGGGCCTCTTGGGTGTAGGGTTCAGGCGCTTTGCAATTCTCGACAAAGGGACTGGCAGGCAGCACACTTCTTGATATGATACCACTAAGACCATAGGCTTTAGGGCTTAGGGTTTACAGATCTTCCCGCAGGGCCATTCCCATTGGCA